TTCAATTCAAAAGACTGCTGTCTGAAAGCGCAGCCGAGCGCCCGTCCACCTACTACGCACCTCTCTGACGATGGTGATCTCGCTAGTCTTGTACACCCAGTCGTTGCATCGCTCCGTGACGTTGGTGAAGCCGTCGATCCAGCACGTGTCGCTGGTGTTGGTGACGGGCACGTAACGGTGGCAGCGGCTCGGCACCATCTCCCCACCTCGTTCCTCCTTCGGCGCCGCCCACTCCACCCAGTCGGGTAGGAACTCCGTGCCGTTGTCTTCGCATTCCGGCACTCGACACCTGCCCAACAGCAAAGGAATCTTGTTCACGACTTTTATTCAGATGCCCAAACACAGATAGAGACATGCAACTCGGTGATATGCAGGTTCGCATCCAGGCTTCAAAAACACAACTTCGCGGGCACAAAGCTAGCTGAGGATCTTACAGCCACAGTTCTAAGAAATGAAAATACTCAGTATGCCATACCACACTTGTGCACAGATAGAGACATGCAAAATAAAGTCGGCTAAATGATGGGCAAAATTTAATTCTTCGACAAATCCCGTCTATATCATGGGGAGTCCAGAGCGTTTGGGACTTATCGTCTGTGTAAAGCAATAGGGGACGACCCAAGTAACTACGATTGAGGCCACATGACTGAGGCCAATGTTGCGTTGTCGGCAATTGTGATATTAAAAAATAGTTTGTAGCGTTAGGCAAATTCGAAAATGCTCAAATATATCTCCTATGTCGAAAGTATATTGACGAGCTTCCGGACATCATATATCAGGCAACAGCAAAAACAACAAAACAAAATTGTTTGACTTGGGTTTACAGGAACCGTGGCACGAGTGGAACAGGCGGATCGCGGAATATTTTCTCCAGGTTTTCGCACTTTCTGTGCCTCTCATGCTATAATTGCATCATCACCATTCACACCATATTATCACCTTTCCCATCATTCAATATTTCAAATATTACTCATACGGAATCATAAAATGGCAGGAAATAACATTTATAATGTTACAACAGTACATCATTTCCCGCATTATTTGTAAGTTTTGCAATTTTTGGAAATTCATTGTTTTTTTTAATGTTGATCGGTGATTTCTCTTCGTGAAAACATGTTTATAATATTGTGATTTGTTTGTGAGTTTTAAAAGTGTAGATTTTACAGAATTGTGTGTGAAAATGTGGGGAGTCTTATACGCCGGCAAACACGGCAAGTCCTCATATTTTGAAAAATATGTAGATGAGATTTAAAGATGTAATTTTTAAAAACAGATTTAATTAAGAAAACAATTTCTACCATCAATATTCTAGTGGCAGGAAAACGCCTCCAAAACGTAACTTTTGCAAGTTTTGAAAATTCAGATATTTTAACGGAAATCGAACCTGTGCCCTTTTTATAAGCGTACTTTGTTCTATATATAAAATATTTTTTTAAATTGAAGCCATTGGAAATTTCATCCCAAAATCAAAAATATCCGGTATAATTGAAGGGACCGCAATATCAGTCAGATCAATCAAAGAATATCAATTTTGGTGAAAATTACCGTTTTGGCGCTACTATTGTTCTCAGATAAACCGAGAGACGCAGTCAGACGGTCAGATGTTCTGGGTATGAAGGGCTCACAAAACATACATGACATAAGACATATTAGAGGAAATTATTTACTACATAAAAAATATTCATTTTAGTGGCATCAAGGGATTACTATACAACTGTTTTGCCGAAAAATTGCCGATATTTGCCGCAACATTACACAACTTCTCTGAACTACATGAGAAGTGCACAAGAAAGTAAAAACCTCACACTATAAGAGCAAGTTCGCTCTTGACACTGCTTTGAAAACTACATTAACACTTGCTCGTTTGTTAGAACATATGTCTTAGTTCAACGATCGTTCAAATAATCATTCATCCTGGACAGTTAAACGTAGATCAAACCTGGCTGACCGGTATCTTTATCAGTCTCAGAACATAGTCACACAACAAAAACAAAGAATGTCTCACAAATGAATAAAACATGTGTTTCTTCTCTAGACATACTGATCAACATATAAATCATTAAAATATGAAAGCTGGCTCGAGCTCGTCGTTTTGCACAAGAATTTTCATCGCATTTCGTTATCTTGGTACAGACCACAGAATCATAACAAACTTCTTAAACGAGGTATATTACCGTAACGTGATGAACCAATAATGTACCTGTAATTAGTAGGTGTTGAGAAGGAGTTGGAAAATTTAACTTTCTGTTTTCGCAACTTCAAAGAAAGATAAGTTCTCAGCTCAATCCATTGGTAATTTGTGTGTATATTAGCTAATTTTTTGGTATCTTTCATGAACTTTTATGATTCTTTTTTAGTTAAAATTATACCAGTAGTCACATTAAAATGTTCGTCAATATTTGGTATACACATCAATAGCACTTTTCGATTAGGGTTGTTATGCATACTAATTTAACTGGACTTTATTCCGAAGAGGTTTTTTATTCGAATATTCGCTGTGTCTTACGTCTTAGGAATGCATTTTCCCAATGAAGTGAGTCTAAGAAGACGTTCATGAGTGTCAATAGAATCTAATTGGCAGGTATGACACGTGTCATGGGTGTTCTTGCATGGCAGAACAGTAATTCTTCCCGATTTCTTTCTCTTTTACGCATCGACCCAGTTTCTGACAAACCGCAATACATTGAGGTATCACAGATTGCGGCGCAGCGAGGCGGGCGGGCGGAGCATGGTGGAAACGACTCGAGGCGAGGCGGGGCGTGTGGATAGGCGGAGTCTGAGAGGGAGAACGCGTGCGGATATGGAGCGGGACGGGCGGGAACGGGCGGACGGGCGGACGGGCGGGACGGGCGGGACGCGCGTGACGGGGGAACGGGCGGACGGGCGGACGGGCGGACGGCGGGACGGGCGGGACTGGGCGGACGCGGCGGGACGGGCCGGACGGGCGGTACGGCGACGGGCGGACGGGCGGGACGGCGGGACGCGGCGGGACAGGCGGGAACGGGCGACGGTGCGGCGGCGCGCGACGGGCGGACGGCGGGACGGGGGCGGGACGGGCGGGGAACCGGGCGGGAGGCCGAGGACGGGACGGCCGGGCGGCCGGGACGGGGGGACGGGCGGCGAACGGCGGGACGGGGGGACGGGCGGACGGGCGGGACGGGCGGACGCGGCGGGCACGGGCGGACGCGGGACGGGCGCGGACGGGCGGACGGGCGGGACGGGCGGGACGCGGCGGACGGGCGGAGCGGCGGGACGGGCGGACGGCGGACGGGCGGGACGGGCGGACGGGCGGGAACGGGCGGACGGCCGGACGGGCCGGACCGGCCGGACGCGGGACCGAGCGGGACGGGCGGTACGGCGGGACGGGCGGACGGGGCGGGACGAGCGGGACGGGCGGCGACGGGCGGGACGGGGCGGACGCGGCGGACGGCGGGACGGCGGGACGGGCGGGACGGGGCGGGACGCGGGACGGCGGGACGGGCGGACGACGAAGGGTATGGCGAACTGGTGAGACGTGGCGGGGTTGTGAGGAAAATTATTTTAATTTTATTCTTTTGATGTAATTCATTCATTTTCCTTTCTAGTAGATCACTGTGATAAATTAATAGCCAAGCTACTCTGTGTTAAATCAACTAGGTTTACAAGTTTTGGTCCGGTTCGTCAGAACTGCGAGATGGTCATTCAGACTCTTTTCTAACGGCGAAACGGTCTTTTTTGATGCTCATCTGTTTCTATGAGACTCGTCAGGTTGGTCGGCAAAGTACACGTGAAGAGACGAAGTCCACAGTTTAAAAATCAATGTCTCATAGACCCTTGCTTGGAAGAATGACGCAAATGCCTCTGCATAAGCTATTGCGTAATGTACTATGTAGATGTTTTATCGACAGCACGGAACAAGAAGTTCCGCTTGGCAGAAGGTTCCGGTTGTATTTTCTGCCACATAACCTGTCGGCGGACCACAAAAACTTCGCCCAGTATTATAATACACAAGTTTGTATTTATTTACGATCGTCAGAAATGTAATAACAGCTGGCAAGTGTAGGCCTTCAAAAAGCAAAAAAATATCTACGAAGGACTTCGGATTGAACTCCACTTAAACATTAACAAGGCAAACATGACTTTCAAATTAAGAAAAAAAATGTAATGTATTACATTACATTGTTAATTTCATGCCTTTTAAAGTAAACATGTGGGTAAAAAACCTGGCTCTAATAATACACGACCTTGGACATTGGCGCTATTTTCTGTGAGATAGACGACTGCTTCCCAGACAGTTTATCTCACCATATCGATCTAACGTGTGCATTACTTCATTTCCGCTAAAATTCAGGTTTTTGGTCTTGTTTGCGCGACACACAGTTGTAAAGTTAAACATTTGGATTAAAATGTATGGCTATAACTATCGAAATTTTTATTACTAATGTCTGTGAAGAAGATGATATATATATATATATATATATATATATATATATATATATATATATATATATAATATCTTATATATATATATTATCTATATATATATATTCTAATTGATAATGATTACAATGAAGTAGTTAAAGAAACCCAAGATTGCCCGGGAATTTATCACTATCTATTAGATAGCTCTGGAAGAGTAAATACGAAAAGTTTAGTGACCACCACCAACAATGAGAAAGTGCACAACAATGTGCATGAAAAACATGTGAAAAAATGCATACCTGGAAGTGAAAACAATGGGACGTAAGTCCTTTAATACTTACACTTTTAAGTCTTTTTTACTTTAATTTGTGTTAGTCTATCATAATGTGAAAATTATAAGTGACATTACATGTGAAAAGTATACGTGAAAACTATTCTTGTTGTAACGGTTATACAATCAGTAAAATCAGGCAGGTGATAGGTAGAGATAGTAATCATCAGAATAAACTCACCTGATGTATACTTACTGCTACCCTATTTTCGAATAGGAAAGGGATTGATACAGAACGAAAGATAGTTGTAAATCCTTTTATGAAAATGAAATTTAAAACAAACAACCCATACTCGCTGAGAAATGAGAGCACTCGCTACGAAATCAGTGAAATGATTTTTATGCCTTCGTCTAAATGCTTTCTTTCTAATGTCTTTTTTCTAAAACAAAGCGTGTTAACATTGAAAGCTTTATTTTGACGTTAATGTAGTGGGCTGATGCATCCTCACCTCCTGCTTGATGTCTTGATTCTTATTTCCTCTCTCATATGCTAAAAGCTAACAACTCATATGTACTTTTAAATGCGAAAGCATATAAGCAATTAGCACTTTATAAGAAGAAATAATATTCACAAAAAATACATTCTGTATTTATGGACACTCTCCAGGGCGAAACAAACATTTTGTGGATTGAAGGAAAATAATATAAAAATTATTATTTACTTTTCTGTCTGTAGATTTTTAAACATTTTAGACTGTATTTGGTACTTGATTTTAAAGACAGAAAATTATTATAAGGTAACTGTTTCATATCAATATATTACTATTATTCATCACATGTTATACATTGAAAATAATAATAAATGAAATACAAAGAACAAAAATTCAAACAACTTCACATTTTCTTTTGTTGTTATAAAAATTTGACTACGCAGAATTTGTTATGATCTTATTTACAACACCTCTATCTCTTACATGAGTCACCGCACGACACATCTGGGCAAAAACGTGGCATTTGAACAACTTATCAAGAAACTTTAATTTTCCCTTTTTCGAACACAAATACATTTTCTTTTATAAACATTACAAAAGATGACGTAACCAATTATTCTCCAACGAAGATGTACTAGCTATCTAAAACGTCATTCAGTTCTGAAAAGTTCGTCATTCAGTTCAATATAGTTCTGAAAATACCAAGGGGGGACCAATACGCGGATGATATCTTAGGTCTTGGTAAGTGTTTCTCTAGAACCTCTCGCAACAATTAAATTCTTTCAAGC